GTGATCCATAGGGTTTTGAAACTTGGACAGTACTGAAATTCTAATTTTACATGAAGGGTGTATACTGTGGGTCGGACTGATTCCCCTTTTCTACCTTCAGTGAAACTGGACTAGATACTTTAATGCACTCATTCATACAACTGACTCTCAATTTTTTTTTGCATTAATATCTTAACAGCAGATAATCCACAAGTAATTCCCACTTGGAAGCGAGTACATTAAACCTGCTTTCAGAGGTAGATCACCAGCCCTTTCTTCTTAGTCTGTCTTAGTTTAGAAGCTCCACTAAACTTGTTCAGCATCTTAGCAACACTCAAGCTTCCACCGACAGATTGGTGGTGACTATGCATGACATGCATTGACCGGGAATCAAACCTGGGTATCCAGCATGGACTAAGAGAATTCTACCACTGAAAGTAGCCTCCTTCAATTAGAGATGATGCCCACAACCTTAGCAATGCCCAGCAATGGTGACAGGAAAAACAAAACAGGCCTTCCCTACAATGTAGTGTCCAGCCAAGAAGATGGTGCTCAGGAAGAGTTCTCAAAGACCAAAATGCACTTAGAACATGCTAAATGAAGAGACTGCATGTGCATGTGCCCTCAGGTATTCGTTTCCTAGGGCTGCCCAAACCAAGTACAACTGTCTGGCTTCCAACAACAGAAATGTATTCTCTCGCACTCTGGAGGCTAAGAGTCTGAGTTGAGGGTGTCATCAGGGCCATGTCCTCTCCAAAGGCTCTAGGAGAAGATCATTCCTTGTCTCTTCCAGATTCTGGTAGCCCCAGGCATTCCTTGGCTTGTGGCAGCATAACTCCAATCCCTGCCTCTGTCTTCACATGGCCATCTTCCCTCTGTGTCTCTTCTCCTCCTCTTATAAGGACACAAGTCATAAAGAGATTAGGGTCCACATAATGACCTCAGAGCCCTGGTGGCACAGTGGTTAAGAGCTCCGCTGCTAACCAAAAGGTCAGCAGTTGGAATCCACCAGCTGCTCCTCGGACACCCTGTGGGGCAATTCTACTCTGCCCCATTGACTAATGGACAATGGGTTTGGTGGTTTTGGGTTAATGACCTCATCTTAATTTAACTAATTACATCTGTAATGACCCTGTTTCCAAATAAGGTCACATTCACAGGTGCCAGGGGTTAGGGTTTGAATACTTATCTTTTGGGGGGACACAATTTAATCCATAACTCCTCTAAGGTTTGGAGATAGTGAAGAGTAGAATGAGACACCTACATAATGGCTAAGAGGATGGACAGGTCACCCAGTCCTGGGCTTGAACCCCAGTGTTTACTAACTCTGCGTCTTTGCTGGACTTATTCCGCTCTTCTGTGCTCCCCATCTTAAAATGGGGATAATGGTGCCCACCTTGAAGCACTGCTGTGAGAATTAAGTTGATAATGTATCCTTAAGCACTTTGTATAGTGTATGGCACCTGTGAGCACTCAAGTAGGTGAATATAAAAGTATGCATAGAAAATAAATGATTAGTCACTTCGTTATTGATTATTTTTATTTCCTTCTTTTTTTATGCTTTACTATAACTTTTAAGCTTTCAGCAGTGAAAATGCACTACTTTTCTAAAATCAGTTTTGCTATAGGTGTGTCTACATGAGCTGGTGATACTAGAGAGAGTGATACTAGAAAAGTGGTACTAGAAAAGGTGCTGGCCAGGGAGGGATCTTAAGGATCACATATTTCAACTCATGCATTTTTTACAAATCAGGAAATTGAGGCCCAGAAAGTTCACTTTCACAGCAAGCTGGGACTAGAACCCAGGCTTTCAGATGAGGCAAGGATGAATGCATGAGACAAAAGCGTGCCTATCTTGCATATATGACTGGCTATATAGTAATGCCACCATACTGTGGTGGCTTGCATGTTGCTGTGATGTTGCAAGCTATGCCACTGGTATTTCAAATACCAGCAGGCTCACCCATGACAGACGGTTGTCAATGGGTCTTCCAGACTAAGACAGACTAAGAAGAAAGGCCTGGTGATCTACTTACGAAAATTAGCCAATGAAAATCTTATGGATCACAATAGAATATTATCAGAATAGTGCTGGAAGATGAGCCCGCTAGGTTGGAAGGCACTGTACAATAGCCACAACAATGGACTTGAACATACCAATGGTCATGAAGATGGTGCAGGACCAGGCAGCATTTATTTCTGTTGTACATAATATCGCCATGAGTTGGAGCCGACTCTGCAGCAACTAACAACAACAACATACAGTAACGATGTAAGCTGAGGGATAAGTAAAGGCGGTGGGGCTGAATCAAGGTGACTTCAATGTTAAGTTTAGGGGCTTGGAAGAGGGAGGACTGAAAAAGTTGACGAGAGAAGTAGTTTTGACGTGATGGAGAGCATGGGTTTGGTTTGAATGTTGCTATCTTTGAGAAACATTCTAGTGGGCTTCACCTATGGGCTGTTTAAAATCTAGGCTTGGATCAGTGGTGTCAGAGAAGTCCTGGGAATGCAGATCTGGAAGAGAAAGTCATGGAATTGAAAGATGAAGCTATATAAACACCCTTTCCAAAGTTCAAAGAAGAGGCTGCAATGGAAAATACCAAAGGGACAAGGCTGTGCTGGAAGGGTCAATTGAAGATAAAATAGGGAGAGGAAGTGCTGTTGAAGAAGAGGAATATTTGGGTAAAAGTGCTAAAGGATTGGGTTCAAAGTGGGTGCAACTGTCAATAGTCTGACATTCAGGAGAGACGCCAGGAAATACAAAGTTGGGAAAAGAAACCAAGAGTCCTGTGGATTTGGCTGAAAAGAAGCCATCAGTAACTGAAAGAACAGTTACAGAGCTGGGGAAATGAAGCAGCCCAAATCCCTTAGTCAAGAAATTAGACTGGGAAATACAAGAGACAGAAAGGGCCACATAAACCAGAGACTTCATCAGTCTGAGACCAGAAGAACTAGATGGTACCGGGCTACCACCAATGACCGCCCTGACAGGGAACACAACAGAGAGTCCCTGATGGAGCAGCAGAAAGGTGGGGTGCAGAACTCTAATTCTAGTGAGAAGATCAGACTTGATGGTCTGAGACCAGAGGAACCCCGGAAAGCATGGCCCCCGGATTCTCTATCATCCCAGAACTAAAACAATTTCTGAGGTCAACTCTTCAGACAGGGATTGGACTGGACTGTGGGACATGGAGTGATACTCGTGAGGAGTCTCTTAGCTCAAGTAGATACAAGAGACTAAAGAGGCAGCTTCTGTCTGGAGCTGAGATGGGAAGGCGGAGAGGGTTAGGAGCTGGCTGAATGGACATGGGGAGTCGGGGTGGAAGGGAGGAGTGTGCTGTCACAGTATGCGGAGAGCAATTAGAGTCACATAACAATGTACATATAAATTTTGTATGGGAAAAAATTAAAAAATTAAAAAAAGAGATTAGACTGGGAAATAAAGTAAGGGGCATTTGATGATAGTTGGGAGAGATGTCAAAGTAATGGCTTATTCATGATAAAGGACTCTGAATATTTGAAAGCAGAAAGGAAGAGATGAAGAAGTAGAGATTAAAGCTTTTGGGAGGCAGAAAATAAACCTGGAGTAAGAGTCTTCAGGGGACAAAAAAGCAAGCGATCAAGGCAAAGTGGAGTCACTAGCATTAAATCCTAAAGACATGCCTCCCTCCTGATACCTTGAACACTTTTGCCTTTAAGTATTTTGGGGTTTCTGGAAGTCATAGGATACTTACAAGGACTTGAAAATTCCACTTATATGCATGTCTCATTTTATAGAAGAAACAAGTAATGGCACGTGGAGGATTGGGGCCTTTTTCTCCAGGCGCAGTGTCATGTGAACAGAACCAAGTACTTAGCACAGCTGTGATGAAGTCATTATTCGGGTCGTAATTTGCTTAGTGTCATTCTTCCCTGGTAGACTCTAAACTGTATGAGGGGAGGGCCCACTGTGCTCTAATAACCACTGGATGCCAGCAACTCATACAGTGCCAAATGCATAGCAGAAGCCCAATACATATTTGCTAAATGTACGACTGAATAAATCAATGAGTGAATGAGTAGCCTTTCCCAGAGAAAGGAAACTTATATTAGGAGATAACTCAGGCTGTGAATTATTCTCCAGAGATAAATTGGGCAGTTTAGCAAGGACGTTACCTGTTTAAACACCACTTGGTAAAAGACCTTGGATTTTTCTTAAATACATTCCCAGTATGTGTACACACACACAGACACACACAGACACAGACACACACAGACACAGACACACACAGACACAGACACACACAGACAGACAGACAGACACACACACACACACACACACACAAACATCGTCAAAGCCCTAAGGAGAATCTATCCCTTGAGGGCTGACTAGAAGTGAATTTAACTAGAGAATAAGGTCGGTGCAACATATGAGTTGGAATCCACTCACTGGCAATGGGGTTTGGTACTGACTTCATGGCAAATTTCTTCTACTTCCTGTGAAATGGTAATAATGGTAAGGGGTATTTTGAGGTTAATTAAGATTGTAAAGCACTTATGGAAAAGTCTGGGGCCTTTACTGTTCACTATGAGTATTATCCCATTCTCTACTTTTTCTAAAGATTCAATTGATATATTTCCCACTTTGTAAAATATTTTGGTTGTAATGTAACTAGGCTACTAAGTTGGCTTACATTTTTCTGGCTTTTCCATCTGAAAACTACTCACCAAAAGCTGGTAAGCTCCAGATCCAGGTAGCACAGTTCATAGAGTGTACTCTATGGATATGTGCTGATTGATTGAATAAATAATGCTGTAGGTTAAGAGTGACTTCATGCCATTATTTCCTTTCACCCATGTCAACTTTGTGAAATGGATGCTGTGCCCATTTTACAGGTGAGAAACCTCAGGAAGGCTAAGCTATTTGCCCAGGTCACCCAGCACCTGGACTCAATCTCAAGACTTCTGATTCCCTGAGCCTAGTTATTTCTCTCCTCTGATGCTAATTTTAGCTCTGATTTCTTTCCCTTTTATTTCTTCAGGAAATGATGAGCCGACATCTTCGCTAGAATGGTTTATCATTGCATTGATGGCAGCCATCTGCTTCGTCTTGTTAATTTTCTCCTTCATCTGCAGAATGTAGGTGTTCTTTACGTTTGGGTGCTTCTAGTGGGGTCTGGGCATTGACTTCTTACAGTCTTGCCGTGCATCCAAAATCCCTGGGTGGCACAAGTGGTTTACAATTGACTACTAATGTAAAGGTTGGCAGTTTGAACCCACCTAACGTCACCACCGAAGAAAAGCCTGATAATCTCCTTCCATAAAGATTACAGCCAAGAAAACCCTACGGAGCAGTTTAACTCTGTAACATATGGAGTCACGCTGAGTCAAAATCAGCTCAGCAGCAACGGGTTTGGCTTGGTTTTGACCGCGTATCCACTAGATGCATGGACCTTAATGTATTTTTCTGTCTTCCTAGACAGACTTTTTAAGGTGAGTACAGACCACATCAAAAGTGAGAAAACAAGGAGTGATTTACAGAAACTGGACAGAGCAGGTACCGCCCTCAGCCAGTACACACTCCTTCTCCCATTTGTCCACAGATTCTAGAAATGTCTTGCAGATCTGGTGTCCTATCCTCCCAGAGCCTACAAATGGCCCCATAAACGCTCCCCCATCCATTGCAGCATTCGGGAAGGCGAAGTGCCATTTAGGAGGTTGGCCCTTTCATAATTTAGAAAGTGATTTTTTTAGTAACAGTGTCGCTGTTATAAATACTATATTCAGATGATATCTATGAGTTGGAGGTCACAGTTAAAAGGACAGAAAGAAGAAAGTAAGCTCTGTGAGCCAGCCCAGTTAGGGAAGGGGTTGCTATGGCTATGCAACTGTAGGTAGTAGTAAGGTGATTCACACCGGACACACACTGTCACTCTTAAGAAATTAAGCATCTACCTGAAGCGATTACAGGCATACCGTTTTATTGTGCTTCGCTTTATCGTGCTTTGCAGATATTGAGTTTTTTTTTTTTAAACAAATTGAAGGTTTTTGACAAACCTGCATCCAGCGAGTCTATCGGTGGCATTTTCCAACAGCATCTACTCACTTCGTGTCTCTGTGTCGCATTTTGGTAATTCTCGAAATATTTCAAAAGTTTTCATTATTATTATATCTGTTATGGTGATCTGTGATCAGAGATCTTTGATATTACTATTGTAATTGTTTTGGGCACCATGAACTGCACCCATATAAGACAGCAAACAATCGATAAATGTCGTGTGTGTCCTGACTGCTCCACCAACAGGCTATTCCCCTGTCTCTCTCCCTCTCCTTGGGCCTCCCTATTCACTGAGACACGACAACACTGAAATCAGGCCAATCAATAACCCTACAATGGCCTTTAAGTGTTCAAGTGAAATGAAGAGTTGCACATTTCTCACTTTAAATCAAAAGCTAGAAATGATTAGTGTTACGGATTGAACTATGTCCTCCCTAAAATGTGTGTCAACTTGGCGAGTCCATGATTCCCAGTATTATGTGACTGTCCACCATTTTGTCATCTGATGTGATTTTCCTAAGTGTTGTAAATCCTACCCCTATGATGTTAATAGGTGGGATTAGTGGCTGTTATGTTAATAAGGCAGGACTCAATCTACAAGATTAGGTTGTGTTTTAAGTCAATTTCTTTTGAGACATGAAAGAGAGAAGCAAGCAGAGGGACATAGTAACCCCATAACCACCAAAAAACAAGGGCCAGAAGAATAGCGCCTCCTTTGGACCTAGGGGCCCTGCACTGAGAAGCTCCTCAACCAGGGAAGATTGATGACATGGACCTTCCCCCAGAGCCAACAGAGAAAAAAAGCCTTCCCCTGGAGCTGGCACCATAAATTCAAACTTCTAACATCCTAGACTTTGAGAGAATACATTTCTCTTCGTTAAAGCCATTTACTTGTGGTATTTCTGTTATAGCAGCACTAGATGACTAAGACACTTAGTGAGGAAGGCATTGCTGAAAGCTGAAATCGGCTGGAGTCTAGGCCTCTTGCACCAGTTAGCCAAGTTGTGAATGCAAAGGAAAAATTCTTGAAAGAAATTAAAAGTGCTACTCCAGTGAACACATGAATCATAAGAAAGTGAAACAGCCGTATTGCTGATATGGAGAAAGTTTTAGTGGCCTGGTTAGAAGATCAAACCAGCCACAACATTCCTTGAACCCAAAGCCTAATCTAGAGCAAGGCCCTAACTCTCTTCAATTCTATGAAGGCTGAAGAGAGGTGAGGGAGCCGCAGAAGAAAAGTCTGAAGTTAGCAGAGGTTAGTTCGTGAGGTTTAAGGAAAGAAACTTTCTCCAAACAAAAAAGTGCAAGGTGAAGCAGCAAATGCTGATGTACAAGGCTGCAGCAAGTTATCCAGAAGATCTAGCTAAGATAATTGAGGAAGGTGGCTACACTAAACAACAGATTTTCAATGTAGACGAAGCAGCCTTATATTGGAAGAAGATGCTATATAGGACTTTCATAGCTAGAGAGGAGAAGACAATACCTGGCTTCAAAGCTTCAGAGGACAGGCTGACTCTTGTTAGGAGCTAATGCAGCTGGTGACTTTAAGTTGAAGCCAATGTTCATTTACCATTCCAAAAAGCCTAGGGCCCTTATGAATTATGCTAAATCTACTCTGCCTGTGCTCTGTAAATAGAACAACAAAGCCTGGATGACAGCACATCTGTTTACAACATGGTTTACTGAATATTTTCAGCCCACTGAGACCTACTGCTGAGAAAAAAAGTTTCCTTTCAAAATAGTACTGTTTATTGACAACGCACTTGGTCACTCAGGAATTCTTATGGAGAGATGTACAAGAGATTAACGTTGTTTTCGTGCCTGCTAACACAACATCCAGAGCCCTGGTGACGCAGCGCTTAAGAGCTCAGCTGCTAAACAAAAGGCCAGCAGTTCGAATCTACCAGCCACTCCTTGGTAACCCTAGGGGGCAGTTCTACTCTGTCCTATAGGGTCACTATGAGTTGAAATCGACTTGACAGCAATGGGTTTGGTTTGGTAACACAACATTCATTCTGCAGCTCATGGATCAGGGAATAATTTCGACTTTCAAGTCTTATTATTTAAGAAACACGCTTTGTAAGGCTGTAGCTACCATGGATAGTGATTCCTCTGATGGATCTGGGCAAAGTAAATTGAAAACTGTCTAGAAAGTGTTCACCATTCTAGATGCCATTAAGAACATTTGTGATTCATGGCAGGAGGTCAAAATATCAACATAAACAGGAGTTTGGAAGAAGTTGATTCCAACCCTCATGGATGACTTTGAGGGGTTTGAGACTTCAGTGGAGGAAGGAACTGCAGATATGGTGGAAATAGCAAGAGAACTAGAAATGGAGCCTGAATTGCTGAAGTCTCCTGATGAAACTTAAATGGATGACGAGTTGTTTATTATGGATGAGCAAAGAAAGAGATTTCTTGAAATGGAATCTACTCCTGGTGGAGATGCTGTAAACGTTGTTGAAATGACAACAAAGGATTTAGAATATTACAGAAACTTAGTTGATAGCACAGGGGCAGGGTTTGAGAAGATAGACTCAATTTTGAAAGAATTTCTGCTGTGCATAAAATGCTATCAAACAGCATCACATGCTACAGAGAAATCTTTCGTGAACGGAAGAGTCAATTGATGCAGCCAACTTCATTGTTGTCCTATTTTAAGATATTGTCGCAGCCATCCCAGCCTTCAGCAACCACCACCCTGATCAGTCAGCAGCCATCAACATAGAGGCAAGACCCTCCACCAGCAAAAAGATTACGACTTGCTAAAGGCTCAGATGATGGTTAGCATTTTTTAGCAATAAAGCATTCTTTAATTAAGGTATGTACATTGTTTTTAAAGACAAAATGCTATTGCACACTTAAAAGACTGCAGTATAGTGTAGACATAACTTTTATATGCACTGGGAAACCAAAAAATTCACGTGACTTGCTTTATTGTGGTGGTCTGGAACCGAACCCGCAATATCGCCAGGGTATGCCTGTATCGTTTTTCTTTCTTTGAAAATTCAGAAGCCACTTCAGAGCCTTGTAGTATCCCATGGTCAACGACTATTACAATGTGTATATTTGGAAGTTGGAGTCCCTGGGTGGTGCAAATGATTAACACAGTCAGCTGCTAACGGAAAGGTTGGTCGTTCGAGTTCACACAGAGGCACCTGAGAAGAAAGGCCTGGCAATTTACTTCTGAAAAATCAGCCATTGAAAACCCTATGGAGCACAGTTCTACTCTGACACACAGGGGGTCACCATGAGACAGACTGGACTCAACGGCAACTGGTTATATGGAATTTATGGTCAATAAAAGATTTTGAATTCACAAAGCAGATGGTCCTAGAACTGGCCAATTTTTCGAGTAGATATTTAAGGACAAGAAGGGGTACTCCTGATCACCTAACTTTTGCCTTTACTCTCCTTTTAGTTGTCACGTATGGACCAAGTTGTTTCCACCAGTTCCAGCGCCTAAAAGCAACATTAAAGATCTCTTTGTAAGCACCAACTACGAGGTAATAGTGGATGTTCTCATGGTATGGCATATGTCCCCAGAGCCGGGTTCCCAGGAACAGTCATTAGGTAACTGGTTTTGCATATTATGAGGCAGAGTTTTTACCCAGGAGACCAGGAATCTTTCATTGCTTCAGACGTTCACCCTTTTGCTACATATATTCATTACTGTTTTTACCTATTGGAAAGGTCCTTCCTACTCGATTCTGACTGTCCTCGCCAGTTAGACTTGAATTTTAATTTCATATTCGCCATCTCTTTACTGACATTGAACAACTCTGTCAACTCTGTAAGCTTCGTTTTCCTTTTCTGTATAGTAAGCGGCATGGATGAGATAGTCCAAGGTCCTGCTTAGCTCTAATGTTTTAAGAGTCTGTGTTGTTACATGCAGGTACCCTTATCAAAAAGGAATTTTCAGGGGAAGTTTAGCTTCTTAGTATATAGAATCACAGAGAAAGCAAGTAATGATTTCCCCAAATATGCAGTTTTTAGATCCTATTCACCATTCAGGGGCCCTGGTGACTTAGCGCTTAAAGCACTCGGCTGCTAACCAAAAGATCGGTGGTTGGAATCCACAAACTGCTCTGCAGGAGAAAGATGTGGCAGTCTGTTTCCGTGAAGATCTACAGCCTTGGAAAGCCTATAGGGAGTTCTACTCTGTTCTACAGAGTCGCTATGAGTTGGAATTGACTCGATGCACGGTGGGTTTGGCTTTTTCACCATTCGGAGCACTTAGGCTAAACTAAATGGTAACTATCCAATTATTTCAGCACCTTTTATTGAAAACAATCATCCTTTCCTCGGTGGGTAGCCTTGGCAACCTTACCAAAAATCAGTTGTCCACATACGTGTGGGTCTATTTCTGGACTCTGTTCAGTCTTATTGATCTATTAGCCTATCTTTACACCAATACCATGCTGTCCTCATAACTGTAGCTTTACAGCAAACCTTGACACCAAGTAGTATAAGGCTTCCAAAACTGATTTTTTCTGTTTCAAAGTATTTTGGCTATTCTATGTCCTTCGCATTTCCATATAAATTTTCGAGTCAGCGTAACAACTTCTACAAAAGGCTGCTGAGATTTTGATTGGGATTTTGTTGAATTATAGATTAATTTGGGGAGAAGTTACATCTTAACAATATTGAGTCTTCTGATCTGTGAACATGGTACATCTCCCCATTTACTTAGGTTTTCTGTAATTTCTCCCAGCAACGTTTTGTCATTTTTAGTGTACAGTTCTTGCGCATCGTTTGTCAAATTTATCCCTAAACTGATGGGTAATTTAGATCAGGAGTCAGGAAGCATTTTCTGTAAAGAGCAAGATAGTAAATATTTGAGGACCAAATGATTTTTGTCAAAACTACTTGATTCTGCCATTGTAATGTCAAAGCAGTCAGTGGTAATATGGAAATGAATGAGCATGGCTGAGTTCAAATAACACTTTATTGACAAAAACAGGGGACAAGCTATATTTGGCCCATGTGCTGTACTTTCCTGATCCCTGATTTAAATCAAGCAATTTTCTTAACAAATTCAGTTTTCTCTCTGATGAAGTGGCTCGTGATTGGATGAACCAGTTGGTGACTGGCTGTGGTGATAGGAAAATGTAGACTGACAACTCACCAAAATGGTAAATTTCAATAAGCTATGACCTTTCTTTAGTGTTTGCAGTTTTGGTGTTTGGAATGATCATAGGCCATGATGGTTACCAGCCTAGTGAAGCAGAGAATTGGGACGGGCCGAAGAATCACCTTGTCCTTGGTTTGATCCTTGTGTTGATCAGGGAACAACCCGTCTGCCCTCGTAAACCCATAGCCCGTCTGGAAGGAGAGTGGGCCCCAGTGTGAAACTTGGTTTCAATTCATCTGAATGTGGGCTGTCAATCCCCCCTTGCTCTGGCATACATGTCCCTGAGAAACTACATTTGATTTAAGCAGCAGACTGAAGTCATTTGTCCTGGCCTCTTACCGGAACATCTTCATGCTAGTATCTAGTTTCCCTACAAAGCCCCCAAAGAGTCCCTTTAATATCCTGAGGCTGGTGAAAGAAACTGGCTTAAGAGCTTATTGTAGAAGTTGCGGTTTGTTTTTAATTAAAATCAAGTCATATGTGCAAAATAACAACTTAGGGTAGACAAGCAGGTTTCAGAAGAAGCAAAGGATCAATGTCAGCATTCAGCACCACCCGGCTTCTCAGGACAACTTACTCCCTTCTCACACTGCAGAGTTTCAAGAGAAAACAGACTGATGAGGGAGAGGGAGAGAGAAAGAGAGAGAGAGAAAGGGGATGGAGAGAGAAAGGAGAGGCATGTATACACACACACAGAAACAGAGGAAGAGAGAGAGACACAGAGAGAGAGAGAAATAAAGAGAGGGAGAGAGGGGGAAAAGAGAGACACACATACCCACACAGAGGGAGAAACAAAGAGAGAAAGAGAGAAGATACACATACACACATACACACACACACAGAGCGGGGAGAGAGAATTGGGAAAATGTAGTTTCGCCTTGTGTTGTCAACCCTATGGTTTAAAATTCTCACCCGAGGGAGTATGTGACCCAGTGTGGAACTGTCCACAGCTGGGCCACGTATACCCGTGGCCCAGCCTCTGTCTTAAAGGCAAAAGCTACGTGACCCACTCTTGGGGCCTCTGCTACCAAGGACGATAGGGCTCCAATCAGTGCTGTTGGTGGTGGCTGTTTGGCAACGCAGGTGCTCGTCCAAACCACCGGAGAAGCGTTCAGCTAGTGGGGAACAGACATCCTCTACGTGTAATTACAATTTGAACCTCTCAGCTTGTCATGGGTACCCAAAGTCCTGCCACCCCAGAACTCTGTGTTTGTCAAGCAAGTTGTTGCTTGCTCATACCTCCAAAATTGTTTTTTTAACATTCAAGACACAGATACCTGGGGGAAGGGAGGGACAAGTGAGCTGGCCTTTAGAAGTAAAACAGAAGGCCTATTTTAAAAAATATTTACTGAGCTCTCAATTTATTAGACTGGTTTCCAGTTGTTCTTTTTTCTGCAGTGTGTACCCAGAAGAGAGTTCCTTCCAAAATGAAGTAGACTATAAACAATTCAAAGTACTTAAAGGCAAGAACCATGTCTGTCTTGCTCATCACTGAATACCCAATGCATAGCACAGGGTCTAATATAGAGTAGGTGTTTAAAAATGTACTGAATGAGGAAATGAGGTCAGGTAATATGGTATCCAAGAGGTGGTATTAGGTTTTATTACAAATTTTCTAATTCATGTCAGCCTTGTTTATAATAGCCAAAATTGGACATAACAAATATCCAACATCAAGGGCATACTAAACTATGGATGGAAGGAATATTATGGAGCTAATTAAAATGGTGCGTCCAAAGGATATATATAGTGATGTAATTTAAAATTTCTATTATATTACACAGAAAGAAATCAGTGTATAAAGTAGTACATATAGTATGACTGTAAAGATGACTTTATGCCTAGAAAAAGGGGCTGAATAGAAACAGTGGGCTGTGATTGGGAGATAGGTTTATGGGTGATTTTTTTTCTTATTCCTACTTTATCTTCCACATTTTCTTCAGTGAGCAGTCACTAGTTTTATAAGAAAAAATAGACTCAAACCTAAAACCAATTGTCAAGAATGTCAAGAAATGAAAAGTTCTCTAATAGACATCTAAGGAAGGATGTTTTGTTTTGCAGAAAGCTGGCTCCAACGAAACAGAAATTGAAGACATAAGTTACGTAGAAGAGGCTGGATTTGAGATTCTGGAAGATTCTGTGTTTTGATTGTCACTGTGGCAATCTCATCTGAACTCACACTCACATGCCTGGGTGATAAGAAGAATGCTGTTTCTTGGCTAAGGGGTGTTTGGAGTTTACTGAACACTCAATCTAGCTGGAAGACAATACAACCCAAAGTACCAGTCTTGTATCTTTGAAAAGTGTGGATGCTTCATCAAAATCTCCTCAGTCACAGCAGGTGATTGCAAGTGAGCATTCTCCCATGTTTTTCCTCCCCACCCTGGACCAGGCAGCACTTCTTCAACGCCAGTCTTTGAGATTTGCACTACTTACCACAGACTTTTTTTGTGTAAGACACTGTTTTTAAGACGGACGTCAACTGTACTTACTTCTGGTGGTGCCAGTGTGGCTGCTTAAGCTGCCAATGGTAATACTCAGCTACAATCTCAGGAAGAAAGCATTCTGCACCAGCCTGGAGTGAATCACGAACTTGGATTCAAGACTGTCTTTCCTGTAGCAGTTGGGTGCCACAAATTCATGGTACTTTTATTATTTTTTTGTAAGTGCTGAAACATTTTTTCTTTCAAGCAGTATGTGTGTGTGTGTGTATGAGAGAGAGAGAAAGATTGAGATTATCTCCAGCTCCATAGGCCTGATCCAATTAGCATCATTTCAAACAAATTTAAAAACATAAAGAGCTAAGATATCACCCCATATCAAAAGAGAGGGTAAGATTTTGTTTCAAGATTATATTCTTGAAGGAAGCCTTGATATCCTGGGTTTATACTGAGAATGGCATCCAGTGGAATTGGCTATAAAGGGGATTACTGGATAATGAATTTTCTGAGAGATATTTGGTGGCAAAGACTTCAGAGCCATCTTTGGAGCATCTGGTCAAGCAGTACTAGGTGGAGCCCAGCCTCTTAGGCTTGGAAGGGGTCTTAGAGGGCATCATATCAAGGATTCCAATCTACACAATCTACACAGGAATTCTGCCACCCAATACCGTCATATATGAGTCTGCAGATCCATTGGAAGCCTTTGTGATGATGGGGGACACGCTGCAGGTAGGATTGTGTGCAAATGTGGCCTATACAGGGATGGGGCAGGAGGAACCAAAAGGTGCTGGTTCCATCTGGCCCCGAGGAAAGGAGCTTAAGACAGGGAAAGGAGGTAAGAGTGCTCAGAATCTCCATCATGGCACACTCTGTATATACTTACCAGAGTTGATATATTCAGTTTTGACCCAAGAACTGGCACTCATTAACTTCGAAACACCTTCTGGGGTGATTTTTTTATTAGCCCATAACCATTCTCGTAGCTAAAAGAGAGTTGGGCCCAGTATACTACAGCCTGGAAGTCATGACAACTCTCAGTTTTGGGGTGCCTCCCAAGTGTCCGGTGCTTAATCAGACACTTCACATACATCATCTCTAATCCTGATAAGCCTGCACAGTTGGTATTACTACTCATTTTACAATGCAGTCACTGAGGTTCAGAGAGGTTGTCCCATAGGAAATGGCATAGCTAGGAGGTGAGTACCAAGACTAAGTGCCTCTAATAATATGGAAGAGATTGTTAGGAAAAAGTTGGAGCCTGAGGCCTACTTAGGGGTGGGACTCAGAGAGGACGGCCTACGGAGGTGCTGCACTGACTGACAAAATGTTTGATTGCTCCAAATCAGAATCTCTGTGAGTGGAGTTCAAGAACCTGCATTTTTAATGAGTTCCCTGGGTCACTGTTTTCAAAAATGAGCTGCATCAGAATCACTTGGAGGGCTTGTTAAAACACAGGTTACTAGGCCCCATTGCCAGGGTTTCCGATTGAGTGAGTAGGTCTGGGGTGGGGCCTGAGAATTTGAATTTCTCAACAAGTTGCCAGGTGATGCTGATGTTGCTGGTCTGGGGCTATACTTTGAGAATCGCTGCCCTGGGTGATTCTTACGAATATCAAAATTTGAAAACCCACTGCTTAAGTGAGTGATAGCAAAAGCCTACCAAAACAAACAAACAAAAGCAACTATACTATTTCTGGCTTAGAGCTCCTGTGTAGTCAATTTCTTATCAGAGCCTAGAAACTTGGATTGGGGAAATCACCCTTGCCAAGAAGGCTGAAAGGAAGAGGAAAGAAGTTGTCTCACAATGTGGCCAGTTCTTTGGCTGGTTGTGTGGTGTTTACTTCCAAGAAGCCTCCTTCGGCCTCACCAGCCAGCAATCATCTGGGCCCCCACCACACGCCCAGCACCCTTACCCAAGCAGGAACACCCCTTTGGCTCTCAATGTGTTGGTCAAGAGCAACACACAGCAGCCCATGTGACTTCCCAATGGATTGTGAACTTCCTCTTCCTCACTTCTTGTGAAACTCATACTCATTCTTTGGGAACCCATATCCAAAGTCACCTCCTCTGTGAAGCCTTCAAAATCAGAGTTGTTTGATCCTGCCCTGGGTTCTCATTCTGTGCCTCATCGCCTTTCCTGGACCTACTCCATTATTGTCGTTAGATGCTGTCATGTATTGAATTGTGTCCCCCAAAAATATCTGTCAACTTGGTTGGGTCATGATTCCTAGTATTGTATGATTGTCTACCATTTTGTCATCTCATGTGATTTCCCTGTGTGTTGTAAATCCTATCACTATGATGTAATAAGATGGATTAGTGGCAGTTATATTGATGAGATATACAAGATTATATAGTGTCTTAAGCCAAACCCATTTGAGATATAAAAGAGAAAACAAGCAGAGAGACATGGGGAACTCATACCACCAAGAAAGCAGTGCCAGGAGCAGAGCGTGTCCTTTGGACCTGAGGTTCCTGTGCTGAGATGCCCCCAGACCAAGGGAAGACTGATGACAAGGACCTTCCTCCAGAGCCAAGAAGAGAAAGCCTTCCCCTGGAGTTGATGCCCCGAATTTGGACTTGTAGCCTCCTAGACTGCGAGAGAATAAACTTCTGTTTGTTAAAGCCATCCAACACTAGATGACTAAGACAGAGGCCTTCGAGTTGATTCTGACTCACAGCGACCCTACGTGCAGCAGAAGGAAACACTGCCTGGTTCTGCACTGTCCTCACAATCCTTGCTATGTTTGAGCCCATTGTTGCAGCCACTGTGTCAGTCCATCTCATTGAGGGTCTTCCTCTTTTTCACTCACCCTGTACCTTACATTGTAGGATATACAATTATCCGTTTGGATGTCTGCCTACTAGATTGCAAATTTATCCTTGCATCTTGGTGTCTAGACAGTACCTGGTCCTTAGAAAGTGTTCAGTCAATGCTATTGAACTCTCTTAAACGCTTTTTGACCTTGGCATAGCACCTTGCATATAGCTGGAACTCAAGAAGATTTGGCAGAGATGATCAAAGTCCGTGATAACATGGAGAGGAAATCTGATGTCTAATTAGAACATAATTGGACTTAACCAGGGGACACACGTGTGCCTGAGGATCTGGCTTCTGTGGTCTGGCTCTGTTTTTGCTGACAATGTGGCTAAATTGTTATGGATAACTTGCCGTCTAGGAGGAGCAAACTGGCACATTATGGGTAGTCTAAAGTGTTTTCAGAGTCCCTGAGCGGTGCTGGTGGCACAATGGTTAAGAGCTGCAGCTGCTAACCAAAAGGATGACAGTTCAAATCCACCAGCCACTCCTTGGAAACCCTATGGGGCAGTTCTACTCTGTCCTACAGGGTCACTATGAGTCACAATCAACTCAACAGCAATGGGTTTGGGTGGTGCTGGTGCAAACAGTTAAAGTGCTTGACTGCTAGCCAAAAGGTTGAGGTTCGAGTCTACCCAGAGGCACCTAGGAAGAAATGTCTGGTGGCTTATTTCCAAAAATCACCCATCGAAACCCTATAGAGCACAGTTCTATTACTCTGACACACACGGGGTTGCCATGAGGCAGAATCGACTTGATGACAACTGGTTTGGTTTCTTTTTTTTTTTTTTTAATTTGATTCTCACTAGCCTTGTCATGGAAATTCAGAGAATTTGAACATTCACTTGACAGTAAATACCATCAGCAGCAGGTTGCTGTAAGCTGACCATAATTAGACACTGGTACCCACTTCCCAACTCTCATCACTATGGAGCAGAGAGCTACCTTCTTTCCCTGGCCTTCTCCACCAGGAGATCAGAACAAACGGTGCTTCTCAAAGACATGCTTTCTAATAGCGACCCTATAGGACAGAGTAGAACTGCCCCATAGGGTTTCCAAGGAGCGCCTGGTGGATCGAACTGCCGACCTTTTGGCTAGCAGCCATAACTCTTAACCATTAGGCCACTAGGGTTTCCAAATAGGATTCTAGTCCAATCTATTTCTTTGGTATTTGCAATTCACTGAGTGTAGCTTAGGGGGAGTGACGGGAAGACTGGAGGGTGAAATTCACTTTTGCTAAAATCTCAACCACCTGAGTCTCATTGAAATGCCTCAAGTTAGTTATGCAGGCCGCGGAAGAATTCCACGTGGGCAAAGAACATCCTGATTAAAAATCCAAAGGTTTTCACGGTGAGACTTGTATGTGTCAGGACCATCTGTTGGTGGAATTAATAAACCTTAGGCGCTAATTTGCTACAGAAAAAGTAGATATCTGGAAGTGAGAAAAGAGAACTGAAAACAGTCTTGGATGGCACGAGTAAAGGAGAAAAAGCTGATTAGAAGAGGACTTAGTGTTAGCTTAAGGATCTTCATGACAATGACCGTGCAGCTAGTCCTGCCCCCAAGCTCAACAGATTGAGTTCCATAGTACAAACTTTTTGAAAAGCCATTCATTGCTTTAAATTTTATATTGAACGAAAAGACAATCTTACGTTTTCCAACAGACCCCCTTTTTTAGGTAATCGATATGAACATAAATATGGTTCAGAATGAGAAAGGTTTAAGTTAAGTGACAGTGAATTGTCCAAGTCTGCAAATAAACAGGAGTACATTTTCCATTCCTCCCCCCCCCCCACTAAATATTCCGTAATATTTCCCTATTCTGTTCCCACTATTGTCTTCATCATCTCTCAGCTAGGACGACTGCAGTAGCCTCTGAACTGAGCTCTTGGCCTCCAGCATTGCCTCCCTTTGAATATGTAAAGGTACATCTGACTCTGTCACTCCCAGCCCCAAACCCTTAAATAACTCCCCATCACCTTCAGGTTAAAGATCCTTTTAAGACAAAGTCCATATGACTTGGCTTCTTAGTTGCTCTCCAGCCACATCCCCAGAGTACTCCCTTTATCATGATTGACAGGCTGATTGTTTCTCTGCAAACTCTGTGCAGTTTCATCCCTCAAGGCCTCTGATTAAGCTTTCTCTGGTGGAAAAAGCCTTTCAACCTTGTTTCCCTTTGTTGACTCTTTCATCCCTCAAGGCCTCTGATTAAGCTTTCTCTGGTGGAAAAAGCCTTTCAACCTTGTTTCCCTTTGTTGACTCTTTTACCTCTCAGCTCTTTGTCATCAGAAAGTCTTCCCTCAATTTCCAGTTTGAATAAGCAGCCCTCTATGTTCCTAAGGTACTGTCGGCTTACTTCTATTTTACAACTTACTGTATTACTTGAAAATTTTCTCTCTCACTGAATGTGTAAACACTCTCAAGTCAAGAACAGTGTCTTATTTATCTTTGTGTACTTAAGCACAGAGTAGGGAAGGACTCTTGCTTGAGCTTAGTCAGACAATGAAAAAGAGTTTCTTAAATGTATACCAGTGTACAAAACTATATTCAATTTTGATTCTAAAGAACTAAATTCTAATCAGTAGAGTCATTAAGTAAAGCTGTGGTTACAGCAGAAATTAAGTCATCAGTGGAGCTTAATAACGAAGTAAGAACTCACAGTCAGCCCTTTATTTTAAAGCCCTAGTGGACGCTTTTCAACGTGAACAGGTGCCATTAGGTTTGTTTCATGAACTAAAGTTAAAAGGCAAAGATTTGTCTCCACCAGGTAATAAAGTGAAAGAACACATAAACCTGGGGGGAACATTGCTTGAAAAGAATCAGCAATAAGGTATTGGTATCAAGGGTTGGCTAACTTCTTAAAGGACCAGAATTATTTTGGTTTTAAGGGTTATACAGTCTCTGTTGCAACTGCTCAACTCTGCCATTACAGTGCAAAAGCAGCCATACATTACGTAAATAAATGAGGGTGGCTGTGTTCCAATAAATCTTTATTTACAAAAGCAAGAGCAGAGCCAGATTTGGCTGGCAGGCCTATATATCTAACTGTTCATAGTATAGTGGATCCAAAACATGTGACATTTGTGTTTTTTTTTTTTTTTTTTAGAAAAGCAACTAATTTGAGAAAAATATTATGTTCAATCAAATAAAAATCATTCTATTGAGGGGGAATGTGAAAAATTTGTTGTGTTTGACTGAACCTTGTTATGTTGGTTTATGTTTGCAAGAAACACAGGTCCAGCATCCTGTTCACACTTCTATCTGCTCATACTTTTCATACCCTCTTTGACATAAATGTATGTTTGTCTCCTCCAGTCAACCATGAGGACGGAAGCGTTAACCCTGTTTATCTGTTTCTCCAGTGCCCAACACAGTGCTTGACACCTAGTAAACACTCAGCAACAAACAGAGAAGGGACAATCAGGCCATATCAAACTACCAGCTATTTAGTCCTAAGGACTGATAAATGGTGCACCAACCACATTATTTGCTCTCCAACTAGCTATGTTCCAGTCCTGGCTATATTCTAGGCAACATGCTCATTAAAAAACAAAAACAAAAAACCCGTTGCCAGTTCAGTCGATTCTGACACACAGCAGCCCTATAGGACAGAGTAGATCTGCCCCATAGGGTTTCCAAGGCTGAAATCCTTATGGAGATAGACTGCCACATCTTCTTCCTGTGGATGGTTGGTTGGAAGCTTGGTGGTTTTGAACCGCCGAACCTTTCGGGTAGCAGCTAAGCGCTTAACCGCTGTGCCACCAGGGCTCAGTACTCATTTTTAGAATCCGTTAAAAAAATTTCTGGAATCCCTCTTCCCTCTTTGCCCCATAAATCTGGCCTTCTCTCTGGAAAGCCCCCTTACACCCATCCTTGTACCAGCCAGGAAAAAGGAAAGGAGACTTCAGCAAACCAATCAGAACTCAAAACAGCGAACCTGGTGCTGTGCCCTACAGCCACTGATCTTCAGAGATCTGTCAAGACTCAGGAATTTTGCTTTAGAAATTGATTACCTCGATGGAGGTGCATCTTCCTTCTTACCTAAGGTTGCCAAATTTAGCAAATAAAAATAGAACAGACCCAGTTAAACTTGCATTTCAGATATATATTTCATGGGGCGTACTTATACTAAAAAAAAGTATTAATTTTTAATCTGAAATCCAAGTTTAACACTGGAGCGCCTGTATTTTATCTGGCAACCTTGGCTGCCACCTTAGAAGCCTTGGTGGTGAACGGTTAAGCATGCAACTGCTAACTGAAAGGCTGCTGTTGGAACCTACCAGCCGTTCTGCGGGAGAAAGATGTGGTGGTCTGCTTCTGTAAAGACAGCTTTGGAAACCTTATGGGGCAGTTCTACTCTGTCCTATAGGGCTGCTATGAGTCGGAATCAACTTAATGGCAATGGGTTTTGTCTTAACCCTGA